AAGAGTACAATTAATGTCATTTACCTTGCCATGTTGACCGTGTGACTAGTTGGTGGGAGCACCCACGGATGGTGTTTACCTTTTTTTTTTTTTTTTTTTTACAATAATGTTGGGATCTCATAGGGAATAACAGAAAAACTAGGGGAGACTTTTGGGCTAAAAGTCAAAGCACCAAGTCAAATGGTCATGATGTTTACAACACCAAGTAAGCAAGAAGCAAGCAATACATCATTTTTTACCATAAGATACAGAGAACCTCTCTTTTATTTCTTCTGGCGGTAGGGATACAGCTGTTCGCTTGTCACCAGGGACAAGGAGGATGATTAATTCTTTGTCAAAACATGTCAGATGATAATCAGAATTTAAATTTCTTATAGCTTAAAAGTATGGTTAATTACTCGTATATATGTATCACTGATGTCCCATGAAATTAAACAATGATAACGAGGATAACATAAGAAGGCCATAATTACAATAAAGTATGTATCTTGAAGACCAGGAAGTCAAAATTAACAAAGGATGACTCCTTTATGTACAGTCAAGAGAGCACGCAAAAAAGAGCAGCTCTTAGTACACTGAACATTCATGTTATTCTAACATGATGTCTTTGCTACTTGATTATCTTACTATAACACAAACCGACATAGTGCTTTTTTTTTTTTTTAATGTTTATGGTAGAGCTATATATATATAGCTAGAACCAGATTGCTCTTGCTTCAATAAGCTTTTGTTTCAGCGATCCATCAACATGAAGGGAAATGACATCTCTGGCTGAGCCTACATATTTACCACCTATGAACACTGCTGGGAGGGAAGGATTACAACCAAGGCGTTTCAGGGCCCACTCCATATCTGCATCATGATCAACTTCATGAATAGCAGGACTTGCTCCAAGTTCGTAAAATAGTGCCTTGATACTGTGGCACATGCAACATGAACTCTTGGTGAAGATCACTGCAGCTTTCTTAGATGCCAAGTCTGTTACTCTATCCATTTAGCTGATGAGAGGTAAGATGTGCTTGCAAGCTTGTCTTGGTAGACTTTGAGGCTTCATGGCTTCTATATATAGGGGGTGCTGAGTGTCACTGGTTTCATAATTTAATCCTCAAAGGAATTGGAGAAGAAAAAAAGCAAACAAATTATGAAAAAGAGAAGTTCCTTTTGGATATTTGTCTGGATAAGAATTATGCTCCTGATGATTTGCTTGAAAACTATCCTTTGTGCTATAATCAAGTTGACACATAGTATCTCTTCCTACCCACAATGCAAATCTCCTTGTGATGCTTTATAAAAATGTATTTTAAACTGAGGTCTTGTTCCTTGCACTAAAAATATTAATAAATATAATAATAATAATAATAAACTTCGGGTGATGATGGGTGGGAAAGTGGGGATATATTCTCTAATTAAGTATGCAGATCTTTAATTTCTTGACCCACACTTCATGAAAAAATAATCTTGGAGGTTTAATAAAATGGCATCAATGTATGACTATTGGCAAGTCAATGTACAAAATAACTCACTCCAAGTCAAAGAAAATATATCAAATAGAAATAACTCATTCTTAGTAGTTAGGTTTCTTAAGTGATATGCTTCACCATCTACCTTTGCAGCCAGATTTGGGTCCATTAATTCTATATTTCTATTTTCAGTTTCATGCTGCGAGTTCTGATTGGATATTGCTTTCATGCAATGTGAGATGTGTAAAAGAAAAGAATCTATCCTGTTCCATTCCACTTTCTGCGTTGTCCTCTGAATTATTAGTGTCAATTAGAAAACAACAAGCTTAACAAACAATCAAATCGATACGAAAACTGTAGCAGCGCCAGTCAAAATAATGAATTATTCCACTTTCTGTGTTTGGGGTAAAATTTTACAATTGTTGAGCGCTTGGTTTTACTTTATTAGGGACTCTTTGATATTTCTTTTAGTAAGAGGTTGGGGCTATCAAAAAGTTTATGCGGTATTCGGTGTTGTCATTCTTTTTGATTTGAAGTTGAAGCTTCAAATCTCACACAGTAGACATATGTAAAATAATTTTGGAATAGTTTAGTATATATTTGCTGTTTAAAAAAAAGGTTGGGCCTCACATTCTCAAATTCAGACCGTTTGATACCACAAATTGAGTCGGTCTAATAGTCTTAGATATATATCTGATACCACAACTAGTTGAGTCTGACTTAGTCTTAGGTGCCGTAATGGTTTTGGTAAGAGCCTATGTAATATTTATTGGTACTCAATTAGATTTGACTCAATTAACAAATATCAAACAAAGTATATGTAGGTTTATGTTATTTTGTTTTTACTAATTATTGTGTGAGAGAATGCACATATGTGGACCAATGGATAGAATTAATCAATGAAAATGATTTGAGAGTTTATGATATTACAATGGGATAACATGTAACATATAATCACACAAATTTTAGCAAAATGGTATTTTAGATAATTAACTACATTTATAAAAGGAAATTTTTTGGATTTTTTGGGATAATTAATTCTCCTAATTTTAAAAATCTGAATTGTTTTAATTAATTCAATTTTAATTCTAACGTAATTTGTAAACATAACCTATTTTATTTTGTAAGAATATTTTTTTGTTAGAGTGATGTTTTTTTAGAATTTTATTCTATTAGAATATTATTGAAGAATAACATAATTATTGAATATGAGGTTGAAAAATAACAACATTCTAATATATTCTTATACATCCGAACTTAAATACAATTCATACATATTCTTATAGACTAAAAGCCTTATATATTTTAATATAATTATACATATTCTAAAAGAATATCAACAAAAATGAATAAAATTCTTAAAAAATAACAATTCTTAAATTGTCGGTATGATCAAACTTTATTCGTACTTCAAGTTATTCCTATTAGGTCTTCAATGCATTTTTCCAGCCATTCCTATCACAAATTCAACAAAAACTAATTATGGTTAAAAATATGTTACTTGCAATTAACTATCATTTTATATATTCTGGTAGAATACATACAATATGACAGAATACATAGAATACATTTTGGCAAAATACATAGATTTTATTCTGACAGAATACATAGAATACATTCAAAAGTATCGTATTTACTGCTAATGTAAATTTAGATTCCAAATATACAATAACCAGGGACAATAGAAATTGAATTTCAAAATCACAAATTGAACCAAAATAATACACAGACAAATTAATTACATTTTTAAACAATAACATAAAACATATGTTGCTAGTAATTCTGACAGAATTCATATCACAATGTTAAATTCTTTAGATTGTCTTTCAAACATTTCAACAAACACTTGTTAGGCATTATTATCAAACTAGCCAAAATTCATCAAAAACAATTAATGAAGTTAGAATAATAACATGGGTGCTAGGTGTGTATCAACAAATACCATGATCCTTACAAATAGACAAAGAAATCATCAAAAAAAAAAATGTTAAAAACCAATATGCGTATAACATATGCAATATAATCATGTAAAAACAATTGATTGAAAAAAAACCTTGCATGAAATATGATTTAAATATATATGTTTTAAGTATTGCGTCAAATCATACATGGAACTACACTTTATAGCATCCAGTTACGAGATGCGTTGGAGTAAACAATGTACAACCGACTCATGAAATATGATTTAAATATATATGTTTTAAGGATAAAGGATATTATCATCTTAGAATTACTCGTGATTAAATCCATGAAGTAATCTCTAAGCGTAGGTTTAACCAATACTTAAAATCCTTATTTCTAAGTACTCATGAATTCTGCAGCAATCCCAAAGTAATGTCCCGTCTCTATGGATAATCTACAAAGCATTTTTGATAGTCTTAAATCAATACTTACTCCCAAAGTGTGACTAACTATGGTGCTTCGAATAACTTAATATTCTCAAAGTAAAACATGCAAAGCGAAATGCAATAATAAATTAATTTACAAATAGCATCATATATATTGAATATAAAGAAATCTCTATTTATTTAATCACTATTCAGTTACAATTTTTAATTGCTATATAGTTTCAAAATAACATCAACACTAGCATCTAAATTTTAATATCGTCTCTCATTCCAATGCTTGTAGTATGCTCATAGTGTTTGACCTTATTTAGACCCTTCGTGAGAGGATCAACAAGATTCTCTTCTGATGATACACGATTACAATGAGTGCACCCTCTTTAACCTTATGTCCAATATATTGATATTTCCTCTCGATGTTCCTAGATCTACCATGATCTTTAGGTTCCTTTGTCAAAGCTACCACACCCTCGTTTTCGCAAAAAATCTCCATTGGTTTTTGAATTGATGGAATAACTCTAAGATCTCCAATAAAATTCTTTGACCATATAGCCTCCTTTGCTATGATGCTTTTTGCAATATACTCTGATTCACAAGTAGAGTTAGCTACCATTTGTTGCTTGAAACTTTTCTAAGGTACTGCTCCGCCATTTAACAAGAAAATCTATCCAGATTGAGAATAAATGTTATGTCAATCTGTTTGAAAACTGGTGTCACTATATTCACTCACCTTAAGTCATCTTTGCCACCAAAATCTAAGATCGTATCTTTTGTTTTTTTTTGCAAATACTTAATAATGTTCTTCACTTCCATCCAATGAGCTAAACCGTAATTTCCTCGATATATGCTGAGCATGCTAAAAAGCATAACCCATGTCAGGTCGAGTACATGTCATAGCATACATGATCGATCATATAGCCGAAGGATATGTAATATGACTCATATTATCTATTTCCTTATCACTACCGAGACATTAAGTCTTACTCAACTTAACAATATGATGCATGGGTAAGTCTACCTTCTTGGAATTTTCCATATTGAATCTTTTTACAATATTTTATCTAAGTATGTACTCTGAATTAATCCTAATAATCGTTCCTGCTTGTTCCTTTATATTCTTATACCAAGAATATATGTAACTTCTTCTAGATCATTCATAATGAAACATTTTCATG